GATTGCATGTTGCATGATTCATGGGATGATTATGTTTGTATTTGCCGCTAACCTTTGTGGATGCAGGATTTCAAGAGGAGGTTGATCCGCGTATGATATGTGTAGATACATGCGGGTCAAAGGTGAATTTTTATGTTGTGTGTGAGGTTAGGGGTTACAAGTGATCAAGAGGATCATGTAACGTTCTAACAAGTGTAGAGAGCGGTTGACACTTCCAGATATCGCTAGTCACGGAGGAACGGGATTGCAGCCTAGGGCCGTGACTACCGATTGTAATATTCAGAGGAACGGAATTGCAGCCTAGGACCGGTGTATTACATGTCGGATCACTAGTCTTTTAGCCTTTGTGGTTAGGGCCGTGTGAGGTAAAAGGGACAATGGAAGGAAGTTATCAATTCGCCGTTTAGTGTCTGGTTACACGAGAAAGGACTTCAGTGTGGAAGGTCCTTGGTTATATTATGTTTGATTTCTCTATTTCGCATGTGCATTCTCTGATTGTTTGTGTGATTGCTTGTTGATTGTTATTTTGGGTTTTGGGTTGGAAAATATATTTATTATCTGTTAGAGGGAGCCTTGGCTCACTGAGTAATTAGTACTCATGACTCCAATTTMTTTTGCAGGTAAGCCTTTAGAGGGAACCACTAGTGGGCGTYRYGAARGATAGGACCACCGGAAGTAGGTTTTTATATGTCTTTTGTAAAGCTATGTTAGTGATATGTTTTTACGACTCTTTTGGGCTCTAGGCCTTGGCCAAACTTAAACATTGTAAAGTTGTTGCAAATATATAAAAGTATGTTTTATGAAATTGTGGTTGTTGATCTGATATTAGTCTTGTCCAGATTAACACAACTCGAGATCATGGAACGGGTTGCAAAGCCTTAGGCCATGGTCAAGTGGTAAAGGTACCTTAGACAGGTTGGTTCGGGGAACTAGATTGGTTCTAGTGACCTCTATCGACTGGCAACATGTATCTATTGTGGCGTCCTAGCCAGCAATGATCTGGGGAGTTACACCAAAGGATACTGCCTAATGATGTCGAATTCCTCACTACTCTTGAGTACATCTCGGACAAATGTAAGCAAATCTGGTTTCGAATACACATTCAAACGAGAGTTAGGATACCGGTCCGTCGCAAACAACCAACAAAGTAACCTCAAATCCGTAGTCGGACCACTTCCAGAAGCCTCACTTGTTCATTGCAACACATTAGAACTTCATTAAGACAACACAAGTGGAGGAGAAGGTTAAATCAAATACGAATTTACCAGGACCGGTGTTCTCAGATTCATCCGTCATAACTGATTTCAGTGGTAAAATCAACAAAAGGTGGAAATGTAAAGCTCGCCAATTTCAATTCTTTCTCCGTTCCTTTTTTGTCAAACACAAAGTAAATCTAGGGTTTACCAAAGAGTAAAGTATATTCGGGTTAATAAATGAGAAGTAACTAGATCGACAACTACCAACTACAGTTCCAAAAACGGGGTAATTATGTCATTCTACTAAACAAAAGTACACCTTAACTTAAAAGTATGTTTATTGTAACACAAACCTCAAAAAGTACCTATAATACCTATAACTGTAAATAATCCTTTCTCCTATGTCCAATTAATTCAATTTTTTTCTATTTTATATCCTTTTTTTATTTGAATTGCACTGAAGTTTGTATTCGAGATGTCATACCAGTCAGAATCTCTGAGACAAGGTGCCCAACTATTACTACATTTGGTTTATCTTACTACATTTAGTTTACTCGATTATGTTTACTGATATGTATG